TTTTTTTTTTTTTTTTAGAGAAGTAAAGAGAACTTGTATCTGTAATTTGAAAGTAATAGGACACGTTATTAGTTATAACACAAAGTACAAACACACTTTCATTCGCGCAAATTTAAACGAACAATTTTCAAGTACTAATATTCCATATACGGAATTTTCAGATAATGAGTATGTTTTAGTTAGTACAAACTCCAGGATAAATATCTCTGCGGGATTTATAATGGAAAGAAAAGAAGATTCTATTACATTGATTTTAGAAAGGTACTTAAGAAAGTATATATTATGTTAAACCTTTGTTGAGCTATAATCTTCCATTTGATTCCAGAGATGTGACCAAGTATAATATAAACGAATTATTTCACATAGATAAATACCATTCATCTTCTTTATATTCTATTAATCTTGCGAATGTAGGAGGTTTGATGAACGACAATGAAATTTGTGAAAAATTACGAAATATCGTGATAGATAGGTTTATAAAATTTATTAAACATCTTTTTAAATCATCTTTATATATATATATTTTTTATTGAATTTTTCTTTACCTCAGGAAACAAGCAACTTTCGAAGAGGGTTTATCACATACAGTTATAACAAAAAGTGCCAAGATAATACAAAATTTAAATAAAATTCAGCAAAGAGCAGTTCTAAAAGCGATATCAGCAAACGAGTATTTTCTGATTAAAGGAATGCCAGGTACAGGCAAAACGCAAACAGTAGTTGCTCTAGTAGAAGTTTTACATAAAATAGGACAATCCGTATTAATTACCGCACATACAAACAGTGCTGTAGACAATATTTTATTGAAACTGTTGGACAGGCGCATTGATTTCTTAAGATTAGGATCATCTTTTCATCCATCTTTAAGATATAAAAGCGAAATATATGCCACATCAAATTGCCACTCTCCTACTAGCTTGGAAGCGGTATATTCTAAGAAAGTACGAATTACTTAAGTATAATATATTTTATATATTTTATATTTTATAATAAAATTATTATTCTGGATACTTTCGGAAATATTTATGGAAATATGAAAAAATGTTCCAAAAATGTTACCTAATTTGTATTTTGTAAATAACTCCATTTGCAAAAGAACTTTTCCTCTTGTAGCGTTAAAAAAGATATTCAAAATAGTAGTTTTTATTGTAATTAATTTTATTTAATTATGTTTGTAATAATTTTATTTAATTATGTTTGTAATACCATAGAATATTATTGGTACCACTTGTTACGGTGCCCATCATGTACTTTTTGGGAAACGTACGTTTGATGTATGTATTGTGGACGAAAGCACGCAGGTATTGCAACCCACTATATTACGTCCACTATATAATGCGAAGAAGTTTATTCTTGTGGGAGATCCTGATCAATTGCCCCCAATTGTTAAGAACAGATTAGCCAGGTATCTAATAAAATGTTTGCATCGTATGCAAAAATATATAAGTATATAAATGAAGTACAGTTCTCATTACAATATGTAATAGATGAAATAAATTTCTGTTGTAATTTTAATTTTTTTTAGTTCACAAAAGTTTTTACGCATATTATTAAATTTTATTACACAGTCATAATAGTCTTTTTCTCGTAGAAAACTGGGTGCAGATGAATCTTTATTTGCTCGTCTGGATAGTGAAAATAATACTATTAAATTAACGAAACAGTATAGAATGAATAAAAATATAATGCGCTTAGCAAATAAATTGACATATGATGACATGTTAAAAGCTGGCGATATCTCCATAGAAAATGCTACTTTCGTTAGTCCGTGTCACGAAGTGAGTGTAATAAGTAAAAACTAAAATTATATTAATAAACTAATAAGATTCTATTTTAGGTTTTAATGAAAGAAGCAGAATGGATACAGAAGACATTGTCATCTGACATAAGTGATTCTGTAATCGTATTAAATACAGGTCATACTAATAACTTAAAAGAAAGTTATGATCTGAGTGAAAAATATCTAGATAGTGAAGTAAACTCAAACATTTGGGAAGCTGCTGTAGTATCTAAACTAGTGAAAACGCTTTTGAAGGTGATGTATAATATATAATGTTATTGTAAGCTATTTTCATATCAGATATTGGAATAACTATTTAAACGTTTAGATGAACGTGAGACTTGACAATATTGGCGTCATTGCACCATATAGAGCACATGTTAATTTGTTGAAGAAAATTATTACTGAGGATATAGAGATAAATACTGTCGATCAATATCAAGGACGCGATAAAGAAATTATAATTTATTCGTGCGCAAAAAGCCTGAGTAACCCTGGCGATATAAAAGAGGTATCATATCTGAGTTTTATAAGTGTTTATAAGTTGAAAAGTATAATTAGTATTTTTCAAATATAGGATCTCGAAGTACTAGGGGACCATCGACGATTGACTGTTGCAATAACAAGAGCAAAACACAAATTAATTGTTATTGCAGATAAAAGTACTGTATCTCGGTACTCAGTATTTAAAAAATTATTTAATCTTGTCGAAGATAAAAATACAATAGATTTAAAGGACAACTGTGATGGGTTTTACTGGAAAAATCTAGTATGTACTTTATAAAATATTTCGCAACTTTTTTTCATACCACGAATTTGTTACAAGAAATGATGTTAAAACGACGTTGCATGATATTTCATTTTATACAATTACATCTTTTTTATATTTCCATGAAATATTTTACATATCATTTAATAAAATGTTTATGAAAATTTTTATTTGATATATATGGATCAATTAGATATTATTCTTTTAATTATCTTATTTTTGTCATTATTTATTTTCTTTTTCAAGTGTCTTGATTACAGAATATCTGTGATCGTGTACAAAGTTATTGACCTTAAGGCAAATAAATTATGTGCAACATTTCAATTATAAATATTAAATCAAGAGTATCGAATATGATGATAAGATAATAATTTTAAAATAATGTTTTGATAAGATATGTGATCGACATGTTCTATTTGTCTAAATTTAATGGTATTTTTTAATTACCAGTACATCGTTTTAATTAATCAATGATATAAGTAATGGCATAAAATTTCTACTTAAAAAAAAATCAATGCTTCGTATCTAATATCTAAAGTTGAAGTAGTATACTGATTGTATATGATATTTTGTCTTCAGTTGTGTATGTTATGAAACTATCTTTAGTTGTCCATATGTTATGATTGTCGTGTTTTATTTCAAAAATAAAGAAATTCAAATTATTTTATACAATATACGAGAAATATATAAAAACTCTTTCTATAGTAAGGGTTATATGTACCTTATGTATGTATATGGTAAACAAGATACTTTAAGATAATTTGAGACAATAGTAAAGTAAAAATTATCCTTAATTATTCTAATGTAACCTTCTATATTTTTGTTCATTAATATTTAACATTTTACATTTCTGCCCATTCCTGAAATTAAACATTCTTGTAACTCCTCCAGATATTGTTTTAGAAATAAATGAAAGTATAGTTATTACTGCTACTATTTTCTAATATAATGATATATGTCAATTTTACGTGTACATTGTCTTCTAAAAATAAATGAAAATATAGCTACTTGTTTTCGTCGAATATTAATGATTGAGAAGGTGTGTTTACATGTCGATATGCGAGATGTTTCATTTGTTTCACGCATGTCTTGTAATTGCTACACGCTTTCAAAATTTTTTTTGGCGTTCAATCATCTTGTGCGAATAAATCATGAGGATAATTAAAAGATTACCTCTACGACCTATGTCTACTGGATTCACTCTTCGAAACCGGTAATTAACCTAAATGTTTGACATTTTAATGCCAAGGCAAACACATTGCCAAAAATTAATTCATGGTTCTAGGTTATCCGAACAGATTGAAAAAATAACAAAATGTGATCCACCAAAAAAGCCGACAGTTGATCCTGCAACGATAGAGTTTCATTCCAAATTAAGTAATAAATGGTGGAATGTCAATGGTGAATTACGCGCTCTGCACGCATTAAACCCTCTCAGAGTGCAATTTGTTCGTGATGGTCTAGCAAATGTGGGATTCAAAGTGGAATGCCCTTATTTACCACTGAAGGGAATCAAAATCTTGGATGTTGGCTGTGGTGGAGGATTGTTGTCAGAATCTTTAGCTAGAATAGGAGCAGATGTAACTGGAATCGATGCATCTTCAGAATTAATAACAACTGCGAAAGAGCATGCTGTTTTGGATCCCAGTTTAGATGAAAAATTGAACTATATTGAAACAGCTATTGAAGATTTTGCACCAAATAATAAAGAAGTGTTTAATGCCATAATAGCTTCAGAAGTTATAGAACATGTAAATGATAAAGAATTATTTTTAAAGGTATAACTTTTTTTCTTAACTTCCGCAAAGAAAGAGAATATTCATGTGATATTAATATGAGTGAAGTCACACATATGTACATAACTATACTTTTATGCTTTTCATAGTATTGTATAAGTACCTTGAAACCTGGTGGTTCGATATTTCTTACAACTCTCAATAAAACATTGCCTTCGTGGCTTGGAGGTATAATCGCAGTTGAAAATATTTTGAAATTGGTTCCAAAGGGCACTCACGATTGGAATAAATTCATTACTCCGGCTGAAATGCAATCCTTACTAGAAACATGTATACCATCCTATGTTAATAATAATACTTATTGCATGATTTTATGTAAAACTTTAATTAACTTTGGTTATTTTGCAGATGGTTGTAAAACAAAATTGATTCATGGAATGTTTTACAATCCTCTGAAGAACGAGTGGTTTTGGATGACTTCAACAGCGATAAATTACGCGCTTCACGCGGTTAAAAGAAAAGAACAGGCATAAATGATACATTCAACTCTTTTATGGATCATAGGTGACTATGGTTTATGGATTTTATGAGTGACTTAATATTTTAGGTTTTGTGATTTACCATTATACATTTAAGAAACCAACTTATTTTGTAAAAAGCGTTGTGTGATACTGTGATATACATGAATCGTAATTTACAATATTTGTAATTTAATAATCAGATTTCAATTATGTTTAGTAGTTGAATACTTATTATTCCTTATTCACGAAAGAAAAACGCGAGGGAATAACATGAAAAAAATTTATTACTTTCGTCTTCGTAATGTATTGTACATTTTGTTATATGAAATTATTTTACATATTTTACATATTCATACTTATTTTACATTTGTTACATTTATCTCGTACAGATAATGTACGTACTGTACATGTGAAAAGCAGAGAAATTATCAGAAATATTACAGAAGACGTATGAACGTAACATATACGAAAATAGATTCCAATGAGGAATGCATAATTTAAAAACCGTTGACTTATTTCTTTAATTTATTTTGCCTTGGCAAAACCGACGCGGTTGTTTCCCATATCGAACTCAGTATAATACCGGCCGATGAAAACGTCTCCCAAGATCCATAGTGGGCCATTTGGTGGAGGAACGTCCAATCCCATGAATCCACTGAGACAGACGGTCTTCCCGAATTGTGTAACCTTTGACAAAAAGAGCAATAGTATTATTGCGTTGTATCAAAGTTGAAATCTTTTTTTATGATAAAATTCTCTCGTGATACCATCGAAAAATGCCTATCTTACCTTCAGAACATAATCCTCACCAGTCAAAGGGAAAGACTGGCCACCAAGCAAGAAGTTGATCGTAGGCAAGTTATGAATGGAGTTACAATCTACCATTGCTTCTCCAGCTGCAATGGGGGTAGCTCCAATAGCATTGTTGATGGCTTCAACTTCTTTAACCGGCCCAGCAATAAGCGAGGTGCCTGTATCAGCAATAGCTTCGCATCCTTGCTTACAGATTGCCAAA